TTTTTTTTTTTTTTTTTTTTCATAATTCACAAAATGAAATAACAATAATTTTCATTAGTTGAAAGTTATCACGTAAAAAATAAAATTTAAAAGATAAACCACCAAATTTGCAGACACATATGGAGATAAACTGAAAATATAGAGAAAAATAATCCTAGGACAAGGTATCTAGAGCTTTTATCGCTCAAACATTTTTTATAATTGTAATATGGAAATAAATAGTCCGATTGGGTTTCGACCCCTATCTGGTTTTCAGAGTGTGAAGGTTGGTCGACTCTCTAGGTGTTGTGGCAGAGTGGGTTTGTAATGTGTTTTTGTGTTTTCTGTGGGTTGGTTTCGTTTTGTCATGTGTTTTTCTTTTTTCGTGTTTTTTTGTTTGTGTTTTCTTCAGAAGGATTGTGTATTCATCCGTAAGGAAGTTTTTATTTTTCAGTTGTTGAACTTCTTAGTTTAGCTTTGTGTTATGCTTGTGGGTGAGTTGTAAGCTATTGTTAGACTATATTTATCTGTGACCCCCCCAATGGAGATAAAAACAAATTTTTTTTTTTTTAAAAAAAAGAAAAAGTCATCAAAAATGGCGACCCAGGTCACAATGTGGCCTTGGGTCGCGACCCGGCTGCTAGTAAGAAATGAGACACTTGTCCAATTTTTATTGGACAAGTGTATTTTTTTGTATTAAAAAATAATAAAAAAAATATCAAAATTCGTATTTTTTCATGCTCTACAAATAGAGACCACATTTGATATATTTTGAAACACAATTGTGATTTTTAAATAAATCAAATTAAATAAATATTTTAGGTTGGGTTGGGTTGGAGATATAGATAATTTGAGTTGTAATGTTAGGTTGAATAGGTGGAAGAGAGAGAAATAATTTTTAATTATTAGGTTGGGTTGGGTTGAGTTGTTGATAAAGATAATCTTAGCTTCTAGGCGATATTCGGATCTGTCCTCCGGCTCAAGAGCTGTCTTATTCAGCTGTCGGGCTGATTTCTATTTGTAATTATGTGTTTTAAAATTTTCTATTTTTCCGACAAAATAAAAAAATAATAATAAAGAGGAAATTTGTAAAAATTGCACACAACAAAATTCTTTATTTTGATATATTTTTATTGAAAAAATTATAATTACACTCAAGATAAAAAAATACTATTTCTTTAATTGCTCAGAAAGATAGGACTCTAATTTTGTATTATACATAGCAGTCTTCACTTACATTTATTAATACGGATTTATGGATGTCAATACACTATACAACAATTTATTTAGTTGTCATATAAGATATATTTAGCTAAGAAGATGATCCTCATATTTTTTTAATATTATACTAGGCAAATGATTTTCTACATAATAAAAGGAATTGGTATAAACAATGGGATAACTTATAATCTAGGCACCTTGAATTTAATTCAAAAGTAAGAAAATCATTTAAAAATAATTCATATTGGTGTTGAATAATGAGAAATATT